CGAGTCTACCCAGAAGTGCCTCAGGAGAAAGGCCTGGCAACCACTCCAGAAAAATCCATTGTTAAAATCTCTCTGGAGCCCAGTTCTCCTTGGACATTCCAGGAGTCAAAGCCAACAGCAACTGGTTTGGGTTGAGGAACTAGTACCTCCCAGAGACCTGGGAGAAAATAGGAAGGGGCCATGATCCTCACAATCTGTTATGGACACAAATGCGCCCCCCAGGGGCTGCATCATGGATGTTGAAATCCCACCTCATCTGCCTGGGGATGTGACTGTTTGCAGCCAGAGTTTTTTAAAGTTAACATGGGGCCCTTTCAGGGCATGGTGAGTCCGAATCCCATGGGAGTGGTGGCTTACGAAAGAGCACTCTCAGGAGGAGAGGTGGCTCGTGGAGCTGCTTCTATAAACCCAGGGAGGCCTGGGGTGGCTGGGGAGCAGCCAGAAGCTAGGAGAGAGGCTGGAGCAGTTTCTCTCTCAGATCCCTAGGGCCGAAGCAGGGTAGCCAACCTCCTCATGCAGACTTGTAGCCTCCACAACTGTGAGACCATGCGTCTCTGTTCTTTGAAGATACTCAGCCTTTGGCATTTTATTCCTGCAGCCCTGGGAGAGTGAGACACAAGCTGAGGTCCGTGCTTCTTCAAACCTGACCGGTTCGTTCAGGGGCAGGGCCCGGGTTGCAGGATTTCCCACAGGCTCCTTGGAGTTGGCTCGAACTCATGGCAGGCCCGGGTCTGTCAGGTAGAACAGGGCTCAGATTGTCAACAGCTGATTGCTCAGCAGCAAAGCACCAGGCCTTTCTTCCGAGGCATCTCTAGGGAGACTTCAACCTCCAACCTCTTGGTGAGCAAGAAGGGACCCTGAAGGGCTCCCTGGGTGGCAGGGATGTACACTCTGAGCTGTGAAACACAGGCAGAGGGGACTGCTATGGGCAAAGCCGGCCTTCCAAATGAGTTAGAGAGAGGGAGGGAGAAGGGAGGAGGGAGGAGAGGGAGAGAGGAGGTGGGCTTTCTGGGAAGGAGAAGAGCATTTATGCTATGAGAAGCCTCCACCTACAGGCAGAAGTGAATCCTATCCACTTGATGGCCTGGCTGCCCTGCATTCACTGTGCCATGCTCACCGCGATGGGCATGCCTTCATATTCCAAGCGCAGCTGGGGGTCCAGGTAGGCCGCCTGCCAGCAGGTCAGGTAGGATATCTCATCCACCAGGGATACTTCCTGGAGCCAAGACTTCTTGGCTGATTTCAGTAGGCTCCGGTGGTCACTTGCTAAATACAACTGAAAATAACAGCAAACAGACTCACTCAGTTATAGCAGTCTGGAAACGTGGAAAATCTTGAAGACCATCCACTGGCTGGAAGGCAGGTGTCACGAGAAGCAATTAAAAACACATCAATAAACCTGTACTTAGGAATTGCATGGGAATGCTCAATCTCCCTCTACCTTAAATGATGTCATCTTGGGACATGGAGACGGCCTCCTCCACCTTCCCCATCAACCTAGCTTTCCTCTGGTTCCCTCCCTCCCTCCCTCCCTCAGATTCCACATTCAATATTCTTCCCGGTCCAGTCCCTCCTCTATTTCACCCCCCACCCCCACCTCCTCTTCTTTGGGGCACCAAACCTAAATCACTGTTTCATGAACTATTTTTGGCGTATGTTTGGAATGAACTTGTCTGTCACCCAAGACTCCAAGCCCACTTCAGTTTTGTGTTTCCCCTTGTTCAGCCCCCCAGACCACGATTTACATCGGAGGAGCACAGAATCTGGAGGTGTTTAAGGGGGGGAGCCTTCACTCATTTTGGAGGGGG